TCTCTCCCGTCTCCCACGGATGGGAGGAAGGACACAGATGCACCCAAGAGCATTAACATAGCAATATTTTTGGAAACCAGCGTGGCCCCCAGGCATTCTATGTTATGTTAACACTTTGTCAGTCCCATAAAGCACTTAAGCACATGCTTAACTTTTAACATGCGAGTAGTTTGAGGCTTCATAAATGCTTTGGTGTCCTGTCATTAACAATCTACCTGCTAACTGTTAGCAAAGCAGTTAGTTCTCCAATAGATTGGGAGGGTCTGGAAGTCAATGCTAGTTTTGCTATTGACTTCAGTGAGGCCTGGATATCACCACTCTCACTGGGATCTCACCCAGGATCTTTTGTTTCTCTGTTTTGGCTCAATTGTTTGTACCTGTAATTAAAAAAAAAACCATTATCCTTATTCCTTCATTGCATGATGGCCAGAGATTTGTCATTTCTCATGTCAGTTATAACGAACTGCAGTGATTCCAAACGATCTGTACACTTCAAAATGTTTCAAAAAATGTTATTTTGAAGTTACTATTCATAAGTTCAAATACAAAGATGACACGTGCCTATAAACAAGATAATCATACTTAGCAAATCGTAACTTTTCCATTGATACCTTACATATTCTGTGCAAGATTTGTTGCAGTTGTAGAACAGTGGTAATATCAAAGCTATAAATGGTCATCTTTAATCACACAGCATCACATCCTGACTCTGCAATTCCAATACTTCTAGCTATTTGGAATATTGAAGTAGCTACTGGCATCTGCTCCTGCTCCCAAGGACAGTGACTATTTTGACTTCAATGGAGGCAAGCCTGGGCATTACTTTATGATCACCTGGGTGTGGAGCTACTTGGGACTGGCACATGCCAAAGTTCTAAATTCATACAGTGTTTCTTCGATCTCTGAAGTGAGACTCCCACTGGTGGCCCATTTTCTTGGCCTATTGTACCACATATTACTGTATGCTTCCTATACCTGAAATAAGCAACCTTGGGAAATGTATATTTTAGGGTTGATAGAATTATTGTTAGCCATATAGTACTTTTATTCTGCTGGGTAGAGAAGCCAAGTAAGTCATCCTCCAGTAAACCCAGGTTTATTCCCATCCATAAGGCAAGTTACATTACTTTTTACCTTTCTACAGTAAAATCTCTGTCAAGTTTGAGTGGACCTTGCATTCTCCTCTGCCCACTTGTTGAGCCCAGATACTATTGGGAGAAGTCCCCTGCCCTCTTTCTGCTGTCTGCATAAAGACCGGCCCCATTCTCATCTTTATGTTTTGTTAGCCTCTGAGTCATTATGGAATAGTCCAGTGGTTTCAGGAATCCTAGGAAGAGAAATAGGGAAAGATACATTTGAGAAATTGTCAGAATTCTTTCTTCCCTCAGAGCATGTCTGCCAGTAATACTACTCACAGAATGGGGCTTCAATGTACCGTACCTTCTATTTTAAGAATTTAATTTGAATGGTCACCTGTCATCTTGAAGGTAGTTATTGTGAAGTATTACTTCAGCACTTCCCTGGATGTCACCCATTGCCTTTACTGACATGCATCTTTGATATACAAGATGTCCCCGGCTAAGTCAATGTCATCAAGGAATAAAATTCATTTTGTATTTGGTAGAGGTCTATGTTATTATTTTGTGTAATGCACCTGGGGCATGTATGGAATTAAATACATTAATATAAATAAATAAGCAATAGAGGGGATATTTTAAAAGGTAAATAATATATACAAAATCTACTCCCATTAAAAATCCAATAATTGACTGTGTTACAAGGTGGAAATCATAAAATATGAGAGAACAAATAATGAAGTAAGAACGAAAGAAAACAATGCTTATTAAAATGATTTTTATAGATAATATTGTAAGGGGAGAACTCAAATGAACAGCTTACTTTTTACACAGATGTTATTAAGAAAAACACTCCTAATAATGATTTATAGCTTTTTACTTACAATAACTTTAGAGCATAATAGCTTCCACAAGCAAGTTAAAACACATTTTGTTCTGTTTCTAGATCTATTAGCTGTGCCTAAGCATCCATATGCTGCTATGGAGAACTGGGGACTAAGTGTTTTTGTGGAGCAAAGAATACTGCTAGATCCAAGCATTTCTTCTATATCCTACTTACTGGATGTCACCATGGTTATTGTACATGAACTATGCCATCAGGTATGAGACATGCAACCAGTTATGAGAACTTGGTACAAGCCTGAGAGAGCAAATGTATTCTGTTTCAAAGCTGATATTCTTACACAAGTAATTGCACACATTTGTTATAGCTGTATTGAAAATAACTTGGAGACCTCTAAGATATGTCACTAAAATGCAGAAATCCAGAAAAATCAGATACAATGCAAAAGAGCAAATGAGTGGGAATGAATAAACTTTCTAATGTTGAGTTTAGGTTGTGAATGCTGCCACCCACTAGCCTCCCTGCATTCTGTGTTCAACCAATATTGTAGCAAACTTGTCCCTTTCCTCTGATTATTATGATGGTGCTGTGTGTATATAAATGGTAAGTACATTGATAGCCATATAAAATGATTTATTACAGCACTGTAGCAGATTTAGGTTGAGTTGATGTTCATGTCAAAATTTGCTTTGGCTGAAATCATTTTGATAGTCCCCTTTTCCCAACACACACATACTTAAGAAGCAGTATTTTTTTATTCTGCCACTGACCCTCTTTCACAAATGATGGATATTTTGTCTCTGTGTGTATTGAAACTCTCGTATAAATTAGGAAACTTTGCAATAAACCCATATTACAATTTATTTCGCATTTCTCTTTTCCATCTTCTTATCTCGAACTAAGCACATTACGAGTGTTCAGTAATATTGAGTTGCATGCAAATGTTATTAAAGAACTGTGCTACAGGGACAGGAAACCCTTTCTTGCACTGGTAACAGGCATAATAATAGCCTCTGGGTTAAAATGAATGAAATTCTACTGTGTAATCAGCGTGGCTTACATCTGTGACTTTACACAGGATCTTTTAAAAAGCAGTGCACATTCTTAGTACTTTTTCAAAATAAAAAATAACATTGAAATAGTAACTTTCTAATGCGTATTCTGATAGGTAAACCTGGAAATTATAATGTTTAATTCATATTCATGTTTCACATTGAAAGTGTAGGTAAAAATTGAGTCCTCAACTAAAACATGATATGCTTCTTGGAGCTTGTTGCTGATATAATCTCAGTATGATCCTTTACTTTGTAACAAATTCTTTATTAGATAGTACAATAAAGCAGTAGACAATAGACTGTAAAAATCATAGAACCTTAGAAATTAGGGATAAAAAATACATATCGGGTCATCTAGTCTATCCCATCTGTTAGTGTAGGATCCCTCTCTATGGTACATTTTCTAATGCTTTTTCTAGTATTGTTTTAAATGTTTGAAATTACAGAGTTCCCATCGCTGCCCTTGGATACTAGTCTACAATTCAATAAGTCTCAGTGTTGTACGTTATTCCCGTATAGTTAGCTTAAATTTTCCTTTTTCTTAAATTCTTCTAATTACTTCTAGTTTTCCCTTGTGCCACTTTAGATAGTTTGCTCTCTTTCCAAGCTGATCCATACTTAACATGTTTGTGGTAAATTATCACATCAACAATTTGCCAAGTTTATTGGCTTGATTCTCATTTACACTAATGCCAGCAGGGTGAAAACTGCATTTGTTTACTTTAAGGCCCGCTTACATTGCCAGAGTGCAGTGAAGATGGCCTTAGTGCAAATGAGAACGAGCCTCTATATGTATTTAGCTCTTTTACTGTTTCCTTATAAGTCTTTCCCTCCAGCCCACATCATTGTTTGTCGTTTTATTATAGTGGTGCCCAGAGGCACCATTGTACAAACACACAATAAGAGAGAGTTTCCCAAAGAGTTTACAGTCTAAATAGTCAAAACAGAAAAAAGGAAGTATTATTTCTGTTCTGTAGATGAGTAACTGAGGCACAGAGAGTATGATTTGCCTAAATTCAGTGCCTTAACCATAAGACCATCTGTGCTCAGATTATTTATTCTACCATTTTTATTCAGCAGCTTCATTTTGGTTTCATCTTAGTGTAATCCTTCTGCCAGGTGGAGGCAGCAGCAGCAAGTGCTGAGTTCAATAGATAGGGGTTCCTCTTTACAATACAAAACAGAACTGGACTGTGTTCCCACCCCGTAATCTGGGAAAACTCAACACCACCCTGGAGTGACACTAAGAGGTGATACTTTCCCAGTCACAAGCATTGACTCAGTGTATAATAAAAGGAAATGTTTATTAAAAAGGGAAAGGGAATCCAGCATTCATTTGGGAAAACACCACTACCAGATTCAAAAGCATGAAAACTTAAGCAAACATGCACTCCACATTATGTTGGTCAGTGTCCTCTGCCTAAGTTTCCCACCTTGCGGTGTGAAAGTCTGAACAAATGTCCCTTTCACACACCACTCCTCTCTTTTCCTCCACTGCACCCCACTCACAGTTGGTTGAGAGTTCAGAGGTGCATTCACGAGTCCACCTTCCAACCCTGCAAAAGGGGACACGAACTGCCGCTGTTATCTCTGCCACCAGTGGCTGACTGCTACCACCTCTGTTGCTATCTCTGCCAGAACACATCTCTGCCACTACTATCATTGCTGCTGCGTGCCTCTCACTGCCTCCTTTGCAGTGCCGTGTTCGGAGGTCCCCCCACTTAACTGAGTTCTTAGTGATTTCACTGGGTAACAGGGAACTTCTGTTCTGCTGCCTCTTCATTTTTTTCCCCACTGAAACACTGTCACCAGTGATTTCAGCTCTGGTAATCACTGAACAGAAACAAGGACTCTGAATTGTATCCAATCAGCTCACCTTTAAACACTGGAGAGGGATGGGTCAAATGGTGTATAGGACTCTTTAGGCAGCATCCACACCAATAGGTGGGAACACTCATACCCATCCCCTCTCATCTTCAGTGAGATCTCTACCCCCTCCTCAGCAAGCGAGGTTCAGTTTAGAGTGACCCCCTCAGTCAGGGCATGCTAAGTATAGTTCTGCTGCTCTTAGTTATACAATAAGGATAACATTTCATTACCCCTGCATTCAGTGCTAAAGTGAATTGTAACCCCAAACCAGCCAAAACTGACCATTTTGGCAAAGCATGTCTGTCTGCTGAACACCTAGGCAGAGTAGGTATGTCTATGCAATAAGATCTGCTCCTAAAGTCTTTTCCCCCAGTGCATCACTAGATGTCAGAGGAGAGCTCATTCAGACCTGCTTATATTAGTATATTCTAAGGCCCCGCAGAGCACTCTACACAGCTCAAGATGGCACACAGTCGACGCAGAAGCTGCAAAATACCCTTTGGCCTACATGAAGGTGTTCTTCAACTGAGTGCTGTTAATAATTAATTGCATTTCACAGTTTTTATTTTGAGTTAGTTCTCATCCCCATTTTGCAGATAGGATACCTGAGATGAAGCACAACCTTACCTCTAGCAGACATAGTAAAAGCCACATCTCTGACGTGGCAGACATAAGTCTCATCCACTTAGCCGCTTTGCCTTACAGAGTGGATGTGCCAGATCTGTGTGCTTGGCTGTGCCGTTTATAGCTACTAGACCACACTCACCCCCAGAAGTAGGAATCCTGATCCCCAGCGTTCAAAATATTTTTCTACCTCTTAGGTAAGCCACTGGGAAAGTAAGCTCTATGTCATCCTCTAATGGCTGGGTTGCATAGAGGTTAACAAACCATTGCTGTCACCAGATTTGTGCTTCAGAGCTAAAGATCCTGTGTTAAAATCCTGCTGATAACCTACACTGAAAGGTGGCAGGGGTAAACATGATGGAAGTTACCCTTTTCAGTTTTTTGTTTTCAAAAAGCTAAGCAAATGCATTTAAAAATAATCTCTTAAAAGAATGTGAAGATTACAAAACTAAGCACTCAAAAATTAGGAAATGCTAGAATTAAAATTGTCTAAGCAACCTTAGTTGGTCCTCTTGTGTGTTTATACACATCTTTAATTACGTGTCCTCACACTGTGCTGTCCTACAGGACCCCGACATCATTCAGTTTTGGGGATGGACAGTGAATTGAGGCAGAGGGTTTTAAAAAAAAATGTTTCTTTGTGTTTAGGGCACTGGACTGTGATCCAGGAGAATTCACTCTATTTCTGTGCTCTGCCATTGGCTTCTGTGTGTTGCTTGGCAAAACTGTCATAATACGTATGCATTAGGGGAGCTGATTAAGATTCCATGCGTAACTTCAATTCTGGCATTTCCTAACTTTTGATTGTTTGACATTTCAAATTTCCTGTTCTTTTAACATATTTTTGTATATAATTAAATAAATACTTAACAACAAGTGGAAAAATACAGAATATTTCCACACAAAAGCATCTGCTCCAGATCCAAACAAATCCATCATCTGAGAAAGAATCATACTGATCACAGGTCATGAACAGGAAAATAATCAATAGCACAGATATTGATATCAACTTAAGTTAGTTGCCCACCATCACATACAAATATAATATTATTAAAGAAGTTCAAACAGGGTAGGTGATCCATAATATTTAAATGTTACAGATCGGTCAGAACTGCACCCTTTGTATAGAAGAAAATCAGTTGAATTCAAGAAACGTAATATCTGATGACAATTGATCAAAATGATCAAATACAAAGCAGAATATAATAACTGAATAATTTAAACAGAAACATGTATCAGAGGAAGGAAAGCAAAAAATAAAATCCCCAAACCACTGTGAATGTTCAATAATCATCAAGGAAAAAGAGAAAAGAAGGTATGCTTCCAGTACACATGTAAGAAGTACACAGAGCCTTCCCCACCCTTATTAAATATATCCTCAGCACTTTTCTTATCTCAACCAGTACATACTAATCTTTTCCTCCAAAAGCCCCACAAATAATAATCTTCATTCAATTCAAGCAGTGGCAATATTCTAATAAAAAAATTAAATTGCCTCCCTCTGATTAAATCTCATTCTATCTTTGTTTCTCCTCCTCATTTCAATTTAAAAATCTGTTCAGTACCCACAAGCTGTAGGATGCTAATAGGATAATGTTTTCCTGTCAGACATCTAACAACTGGAAAAGTAATATCACCTTCCTACATTTGTGTTTATTAATTGGTGTTTTTAGAGGTCTAGCAATCTTTCTGACATTTGACAATCCACAAGAATGTTTAAGAAAATACACTGTGATTCATATAAATATAACATGCTATTTTCATACCTATAGAAATATTTCTTTATTGGATGATCAAAACCGAGTACCTGTAATCCTGTTATTGCAATTATTACTTGATAAACAGGAAAAACTCCCAGGAGTAAGATTGGGTAAAAAATGAGATGCTATATCATGATTAATAATATTTTGAATATATTAGAAAATATGTTTCTGCTTTATATATACTTTACTTTAATCTAATCTAGTCTAATCAATAACATCCCAATGTTTCTAAAATTTATTAATCCTTCCTGAATTATAAGAAAATGTGTTAACAAATGGTATTTCAGTATTACAACTTTAACCCTAGGGTTTTTAAAACACAATCTCCTTGCCTAGTTCTAATACTTGTTTCGTATTTGCTGAATAGTCTTATCATAACCCATAAATATAAACCTATCAGACATTATTTCATCCTTTTTCATCATAAATTATTTGTGGTCAAAATATATTCCCTTAACTCTCCACAGTTTGGGAGTATGTTATGTGTGCATATGGATTTGCAGTGTATTTTTTTTATCTATCTTTTAAATTGTAAGTTCTTTTGGACAGGGACTGCCTTATTGGTCTTGTAGAGAGTTAAGCATATTGTTGGCATTTATGTAAATAATAACAAGAGTCATTGATCAGTGGGTTTCCGTTAACTGTTCTCTTAATTTCACTCTCAGTTGGCATAAAAAGTATCATCAAGATCACTTTTGTCAACCCCATCTGCAGTTCTCTTCCTAGATCTTCATTACATTTATCTTCACTCATTCAGGTACTAGCTCTTGGCTGCTGAAGCCCAATACTGCCAATCTGATAATGTTAACCTCTCTTTGGTATGCACTTTGGTACTGCCTCCCTTGTTCACTGCACCCACAATCTCCAGTCACAGCACTTATACCTGTCTCTATTCCACCACCATTCCTTTTTCATGAATAGTGATGCACAAATGTAAGGCAGCTCATTCATACCCCAGTGAGAGTTTCCAAACAAACCCATAATTATGGGCGCAAATAGATCACTGCCCAATTCTTTTTTTTTTCATACACTCACCATTCTAATTGCAGCATCAGTAGCTGATTCTGTAATCTCACATGAATCATTCTCTCTCTAGAATATCCATTTGCTGTTCTGTCTCTGTTTATTTTAATAGTTTGTGACCACATGCAAAGTTCAAAATTATCTCATGTTAGCTTCACCTCATTTTCTAATTGCATAAAAAAACTACCAGTGATGTTTACACATACAGACTTTGGTTATTCATTCAGAAAAAAAAACAATTCAGAGACATTGAGATATATTTTCAAAGTAGTGCACAATGATTTACTCATTCAACTCCCATTAACATCAGTGGGTATCACACAGTCAAATACTCATGCACCATTGTAAAAATGGGCTCCCAATGTTATTCCAGTGAACAAACTTGATCTGAATAGACCGTCCTTACAGAAAGCGAAAAAGGCTAAAACGTGGGAGATGTAGGTTCTGTTCCTAATTTTCCAGAGACATCTTGTACAACCTACTACAAGACACTTAATGTTCCTCATCTGATACTTACCTAACTCACAGGTAAAGCTTAATTCATTGGTATTTTGTAAAACATTTAGAGATCTTTGTATGGAAGGTGTGATATAAGTGTAAAATATTGTCATTATTATTAATAATAAACCTAGTAATGGTGGTTTTGTGTACAAATCACACATATATAAACAACATTTTATGTTGTTTGATTGGACTTTCCTTGTAGTGGTTTGGTGACCTTGTGACTCCAGTATGGTGGGAAGATGTATGGCTAAAAGAAGGTTTTGCTCACTATTTTGAATTTGTTGGGACAGACTACCTCTACCCAGGCTGGAATATGGTAAGTTCATGTTATTTCATTAGTTTGGAAACTCCACTGAAAGGTTGTTTTCCTGTTATACTCCTGCTTATGTTACAGTCAGGGTCTGCTGAAGAATACCAAGTGGTGCGAGCAAGTATCAGATGTCCAATAAAGCAAAATCAGTGGGTGTGAAATCATTTGACAGCATTCCAAGAGTGTAATCTGCCATTTATTACAAAATGAATAAGGTCTTGTGTATCATAACCAAATGTTAAAATAACTGCCACTTTTCCATTCAAAGACATTTCATACTAGAGTAGTAGTGATTGAACACCAACCATTTCTGAAAACTGTATATTAATGAAAAAAGATCTCGATAGTGTTTTCTGAGGTTCTCAGAACATTGCATTTTTAGTTATAACAATATAAATAGAGAAGGAAGATTCAGGTAAGCCATACAGTGAAACTGAATATATTACTGCAATATTATGCTTTTTTCTAAATTAGCTGTTATGGTATTGTTGTTTTGGGCATCTAGCATTCTATATTAATCTATATACTGAGGGCTGTGGAGCATAGTTTGTCATATGCAGTCATATAGCTGTAGTTATAGGATCAACTTCTGTCTTCTGAAACGTGTGCAGCAACCATTGGCCCACTGGTGAAAGAGCCAGGAAGTACAAGTTGGGTCATCCCTTTTGAGTCCCTCTGTTTGCAGATCAAGTGCCTAGGTCATTCCCACTTATATCTTATTTTATTCTTGAATATCAGAAGGTGTAATACCTTGACCACTTAAATGGTAAGGAAAGATAAAAATTAGTGAGAGTTACAGGCATAAAAGAGATACCTTCCTTGTGAGCATGTCCAGGGTGTCTGTTTATTTTGTAATGTCCCAAGAATGAATTATTTTATTCTTTATAATCTTGCCTCTCTTTTGAGCTGATAATATTAGGTATCATTATGTGACAGTTTTTTATATATATATACAGCTTGTAGGATAAAGATTTTCAAACTTAGATTTAGTAATTTGAATGTTTTCATTAAACTCATGCACATTAACTTCTGAAATTGTTTTGCCACTTCTTGAATTTAGCTCCATAGCTTTAGTCCACTCATTTTTTGTGAAGTAAATCCAAGATGTAATAATTAAGAATTAAATAAACTACAAACTCTTAAATAATTGTACAAGGGAACTCTTTGGGTTTAGGGACATTTCTGTTTGAAGTCTGATTTCTTTATTCTGTGCCATGTTTAATTTGTTTTGGTGTAACATTTCTGATTTATAATTGCATTATGAAAAAAGCAAAATAAATCTATACTTGAACTGACATCTGCCTCACATAGGTAAGCTTGTTGGGTTCACCTAGCTTTGGGTGTAATAAAACTCATTCTCTTCCTCTTTTTGAAGAACACATATTGAATTACAATATAATCAGTCTAATTATAAATGCAATGGAATCTGGCAGCTCTTGATGATTTTAGCAGAGGGAAATGTCATAGACTACAATGTTCATACACTGGTTTTTATCTTTGAATCATCATAGTCATTTGTTCGCCACATAATCACTTTAACAAATCCAGAATAACTTTGCTTTAGAAGTCATCTTGAATGGAGAATATTTTTTGAGAATTCCTGTGGAGTGAATGTAATGTTCAGTGTTATGCAAATGACATACTGGAGAACCAAAAGGTATGTGGGTTGAACAAAGTATGACAGTTAAACCTTGGAAATCAGAAACATGCAGTGCATGAATTAGAATTAATAACAGAAAAATGGCTGTGCCTGGAAAATATCTATCTGTCAAGTTATTTTAAATGAAAAAGGAGAGTTGACATAAACTTTTCATGAGGCTTCTGATATCATTAGCCTTAGATACCAAAATAACCATACTGACATCTAAATAGTTAGAAAACTGGTGGCAAGATAGAACACATGACAAGTTAAACAGTACAGCATCCTACTGTGGTGTTTTTTACAGACTACAGTGGGAATTAATAATTTGATGTTTCATTCTTTTTATAAAGATGGTAGGACTAACAAGCAAAAGTTGGCTACAGCTATCAGATTTTGGCATTCTGGTTATTTTTTTGTTATCAGTGAAGAGTACATGTGCTACTAAGATTATTCTGACATCTAAAAAGACTAAGTAACAAATAGAAGCAATTAGCAAAAGAAAAACTACTCCAAACAACTCCATTTATTCAAAAGTGAAGGAGTACACATTACAAGCAACATGAAATCAGTTGCAACACCAAGAACCTTTAGAACTATTTCTCATAATGATGTTACTTAAATAACCAGAGCAACAACATAGGCGGCTGCATACTGCTGCTTCAACAGTAATTCAGACCTATGAAATACGCATAAAAGGTTCCACTGAATATGATCACACAAGGCTTTGAAAATGATTTGCATCAGGAAAGCCAAAAATAAAATCCAGTCTCTTCCCAAAGAATGGGGAAAGGTAGAAAGTTGACCTGCTTTTACAATTTTAAAATTTTACTCTTGTAATCCTCCTCTGATCCTCAAACCTTGGGGATTGAAGTATCAAATACTACTCCCTTCCAGTTTGTTACAGAATATGCTATCATATCTCTTTTTGGACTGGTCTAGGCATCAGTAAAAGACTAAGGCTTGTACATTTTGTTAAGATAGCCTTAGCAATGGTATGCACTAACACTCTCTACTGCTCAGCCCTCAGTTAACATAGGAAAACAACGAATTTTTATACAAAATAACTTACACTTTTTAAATTTACAATTAGTAGCCAATTTCTAATACGACTTGTCATCCCAGGGGTTAAAAACAGTGAACCAAATCAATCTTCCAGTGCTGCCATATTTCCTGTCTATCTTATAAAGCTTTTCAATCAGAAGCCCTCTCCTACTTATATGTTTGCAAAGATACCTCAAAATGAAATGATGCCTGAGACATATTTCATCACCCTTCTATTAAAAATTAAAAAGTGCTAAATCAGAGCTTAAATCTTATATGTCTCTTGTAATACTAAATCATTGCTATATTTCTTGAATTCAAATGTAATCTCATCATCCCATGTATCAGATGGGCTTCAAGGCAGGAAGGTAAGTCTTAGCTTTAGGAGAAAAAAATACATTGTTGTATATCATCAGTCGTTCATGGACCAACAGCATAAAGTCTCCACCTATAAAAAAATCTCTCAGTCAAGTTCCATATACAAGGTCTGAGTCCATTCCTTCACTTTTGCTTCCTTATACTTAACGGTATACAGCCATAGTCCTGCCCTACTCCTTCTCTTTCTTACTCTACTACTATCTATCCTTCTAGACCCAAGATCAAAGAGAAGACAGATGAAAGGAAAGAAGAAGGAAACAGAATTGAAGAGGGGGAAAGGATAAGAAGATCTTGCAAAAGCAAGAAGATGGGCAAAGAGCCCTTTGCTTCTTTCAGAGATCTATATGTGGAGACGCCTAAGGAGCCAGCTGGGTCACCAGTCTTTATAGGCTCTGAGATTGGATTTGTCAGTCCATCTTGTTACAGACCTGGCTGAGTCCCCCTAGTTGATGGTCACCAGTCTGTAGTAATTGGCCCCAACCTGGGGATACCACATGCTTCCAAGCCAGCTGGGTCTAGGTGGAATCCAGGTGCCATTTCTAGCTCTGGGCCTCTAAGGCACACTCCTCGGGAGCAGACCTCTTTTCTGGCCCCCTTCCTTGTAACTCTACAGTCCAACTGTCCTTGTCCCTAAAACAGGTGCTTTCACATCTTAAGCCTCTCCAGCCACTTATGCATGTCCCTCTCCCTTTCCCACCTGTCCCTACCAAGCTCCACCTTGCTATGGAGTGCTTTGGTTTATAGTTTAAGTCCTTGGAGACAATGTATCAAGTAAAGTAAAGAAACAGGCTTTGTATAGGCGTTCCTAAACCTGCAGTAACTTTTACTCTCAAAGCACAGAAGAATTATAGTTCTTTAGGAAAACAACAAAACGCTCTCTGCTCTCTACCCTGATGTCTGATGATGGTCTGCCATTGAGAAAAAGGGAGCCTGGAGCAGATCCTTTCCTTAAATAAGGTTTCTTCCCCTTTTGTTCAGGTGACCAACTGCTCAGCTTTAGAACTCCCATCAGGTGGTTAGTCAGGAAGTCCCAGCCCACTTGGAGTCCAAACTGGGCAAATCAGTTTCCTTCAGCCTGGCCACCCTCTATAGCAAAATCATTGTCGTAGGGGTAGACCTCTGATTGGAAAATGGTCACAGTTAATGAGTCTTGTGTTACCCCTGCAGGGAGGTGTCAGGCATTACAACCAGCTGCTCTTGGTCTGTCCTTGACATATCTTGGCAGTTAAAATTACATAAATGGACACAGAAATATTCCAGTCCATCACACTGTTTCCCTTTCTGCCCATGGAGTGGTGCCTTTTGCATGGTTTAGAACCCATAATCCTTATAGACTGCAAGATGTATAGAAGTATGCCTGCCTTACTGTGTCACTCCCCACCCCAATTTAAATTTAAATTTAAAATTTAAAGAGCAATCTCCTATTGCTCTCTGGAATCAGGCAGCACAGTTCCTGTCCACTTCTGCAGCTAGTCAGCCAGCCTACAGTAGCAGACCTCTTCCTTCTCTGCTTCCACACTGGCCCCAGTGGCTGTAGTAAATTCGAGCCACCATGTCCTTCCTGCTGAGCGCTAAACCACTCAAGACATCTAGTAGAGTGGTGAAAGCTTTTATTTCCCAGGACTGACTTCAGGCTACTCTGGATTATCTCTTTCAGGTTCTGCCTCTTCCCCATACTTTGAATTGGTCTACTCTTCACTTTCTGAGGCATGTCACATCCTGTGTGGACCTGGCCCCCTGGATAGCACTCCATTTGAGGCCTCTCAAATCCTTGCTGCTTAGCATGGCATATTCTATCCACCCCTTTGAGGAAACTACTCTCTTCCTTGTCTCCTCCTGTACAATCTTCCTTAGTGTGGTGGGCCTACTTGCTTTACATTTATAGTGGATCTGGCTTTCCATCTTCTCCTCCCATGACTGTCACCGCAGAGGCCCTCTCTCATGC